GGAAATTGCTGTTTGCCAGAGATATGCTTTATAGGGGTTTGGATCAAAGTGTGAGATGCTGATTTGGTTCCCATGCATAGGGAGGTTGTCTCTACAAAAGAAGTGATCATAGAAGTGAACTCTTACTGTGAAAATCATAGAATGGTTCGGGTTAGAAAGGACCTTATGTATCATCTAGTTCCAACCCCCTGCCGTGGGCAGGGATGCCTCATGCTAGACCATGTAGCCCAAGATTCTGTCCAGCCTGGCTTTGAACACTGCCAGGGATGGAGCATTTACTGCTTTGGCCACCCTGTGCCAGTGCCTCAGCACCCTCACAGTAACGAACTTCTTCCTTATACCTAACCTGAACTTCCCCTGTTTAAGTTCAAACCCATCACTCCTTGTCCTATCGCTACAGTCCCTGAATAAGAGTCCCTCTCCAGCATCCTTGTGAGAAAGATCAGGCCCCAGGGCAAGGCTGGAGGTTTGTGTGCTGTGCATCCAGTTCTTATAATCTTTTCAGCTTCAATTCACACAGTAATTTTCCAAACTTTCCTCGATTGATTTGTGGCACCTCAAGGTTGGTTTCTCTCTGCATCAGTCCATCTGGCACTAGCCATTAGTGCTTTCTAATACACAGAAAGTAATTTAGTTTGTGACTTTAATTAGTAAAATAGTTTGGGTTGGAGTTTGGGTGTTGGTTCTTTTCCCCTGGATGATTCTTTTCTCTTAACTGACACTAAAGCAAAAAACAACACCCTGCTTTTGAATGGATGATAGCCAAGAACTTGCAAAAATGTTGGCAGAGCTCAAAGACAAGGATTTTTATGATTAAAACTTCTTGACATAATAAAAGAAATTGTTCTGCGGAGACCTCTGAAGTGACCCCAGAAAAAAACAATATAAACCTCCTGTCTCCCAGGGAACAGTGAGGAGGTCTGAGTTAATTGCCAGTGTCTTTAATCTACATCTCCCTTGTGATCTTCTCTCTGGAGTTTTAGACTGATCCTGTCCTCAGTTATGCTACTATAAATCAGCCAAGCATCTTCATTACAACTGGTTAAATTATTGTAGCCGGTGCAAACCAGGAGGATCAGACAGAACAGAAGACAAAAAAACCCGCCCAAATATCTGATCGTCCATCCTCATCCTGCCAGTATTAATACGATGGTGACCAAGGAGGGCCTGAATGGGAGACTGCGTGGATGGTGTCCAAGCCAAAGATCAATGAAGTCAAAATTTATCTTTACCTTCACTTGAGTGAACTTTCTGTTAAATTCTTACAGTGATGAAAGAGAGGATCAGACACAAGACTTGGGGCTTTACTGCTCAGCCTCATGGCTATTAATGGGAGACAAATGATTGATCCCACCCCTGCCCATGCTGTGTAAGAGGTAAAGAACTGAATGAGCAGGCAAGGAGAAATCAGCCTGAGTATCACGCAAGATCTCCAGTGGGTTAGAGGACAGCTCTGCTCTCTACCAAAGTCTTAGTCCTTTGAAGGCAAAAATCATTTCCCTATGCTAAGGGGGCAGCATCTCCTTTTCCACTGGGTCTGCAGCACATGATTCCAGTTGGCAGCACTCTGTAGGACAACCTTGCCAATCATCTTAATTGAATCTTTCAGCTGTTTCCCTGAAGCTGCCAATTTTAGATCTTGTACATCTTTTTCATCAGAGCAGAATTAGGAAACGTGTTTCTTGCCATCTTATCTCTGTTGATAAATAATTGTATGTTGCGTTTATGGGAAGCTTTGAACTGGTACATTGGGAGACGCTGTTTAATAAGTCTGGCTGTGAACAACCATGGCTTGAACAGAATTTAATTACTGAGAATGGATTGCTGAGATTGGAAAGCACAAGAAAGGTGCTCCAGGTCCTTGGAAGACATCTATAGAGGCCTTGGAGGGCCAAATGCTGGAGCTGCAGTCAACTGGATTAATCAGATTGGAAAGTGAAGAGAGGAGGAAGTCATTTCTGCTTAGCGTAGTAGGTGATATTGCAGTCAGGCTGCCTCAAGGGAGGAACAGCAGGCAATGCAGTGCTTGAAAAGATGTATCTGTGTTCTTGGGAGAAGACTGAGAGTTGCTGGCTTTCCCTCTGAGTTCAGCTGGTCTGAGAAGAAGTGTGTAGGATCAAACTGAGCATTGCAGCAGTGAACCTTACACCGGTACAGTTGCCTTTGACTCGGTTCCAAAAATAGTTGAAGAGTGGCGTAGAGACCAGCAGGAAAGAAGTCCACAGCATGGCAAGAACCAGGCTGTAAAAATCATAGTGTTTCAGACCAGACAGGTGGCTACACATGTGTGTTATCCTGCTTTTCTCCAGAGCTATTTGATTAAAGAAAAAGAAGACAGATGTCTGTAAGCACTCTCTCTTACAGGATTGCTAGTGCTCTCTAATCCTCAGCAGCTAAGGAATCCTTCCGTTAGGTACTGCTGCATTTATGTTGGCTGATGTGTCCAAGAATGAATCCACAAAGATGGCAAACAGGAGAACAAAAGCCCAGCAGTTGTGTTTATCCCTTTAGTTTACAAGTGAGTAGTAAATAATGCAAATTCTAATTACACCTTAAATATTCTGAGAGCTGGATGAGCATTTTCAGCCCTCCAGAGGAGAAATGTGGTGTGTTGATTGATTCTTGCTCAAAATGCTGTCTAGCATGTAAGAAAAATACCTCTATAAATGCTGGTTGGCCCTCACTTTTGTCTTGGCAGCTGCTTCCCAGGTGGGGAGCTGGCGGTGCCTGCAGAAGCCCAACAGCAGCCCTCAGGTAACTACTTTTGTAAAGAGAGTTCTTTGTTTAATCCTTTTTAATGTGTTTGATTTGAGGATTGCCAGCCTCAATTCCACCCAATGGAAATTGGGTGAAGAGGGGTAGCTAAAATGTTTGGAGTCCCTGGGCTGATTTTTTCACCCCCAAGTGTAAATGGATGCAGCATCTGCTGTCCCAGCTGTGGCAGCCTGGCTCTGAAATGCCCATCCAAATAGAGGGGAAGGAAGGAAGGGAGGGAACTCTGAACAGCACAGAGGAGGCAGCGATTTGGTTTAGCCTTGTGTCACCTCCCAGTTGATCCCTCCAGTTGCTCCGTGAACCTAACCAGGCATTGGGTGCAGGAGACAATTGTTTGCTGTGCACAGCCCACACAGGCAAGGGATGCAGCCAGAAAGAACTTTGTTCTCTGTAAATGTTTCAACCATGTTAAAGGAAAAGCAGAAAGGGCAGTTCCGGTTTGATTGCTTGTCGGTTTCATGCCACTGAACAGACTGATTACTGCCTGTGTCTGCCCAGGCAGCTTAACCCCTTCTCACACTCCAGGGTGTATAATAGCACTTACATCCACACATACAAAATACTGCTGAAAACGTTCTACCACAGATTATTCTCTGGGGTTCACACTGACCAAAAGCATTGGTTTTGTTAAACCCATGCCACTGGAGGGATAGCATTGCTGTCTTATACCTGTGTATCGCTACCCAGCAGTGAGGATGCGATAGAAAAGAATATCTAATGCGTGTATTGAGGAACAGGAGAGGTGGGTGTAAATGCAGCCAGCATCTCATCAGACCTGATTGCTCAAAGTCGTTGGCAACGCTGACAACCGAACAGCTGCAGAGACAATTTTTACCTGCTGCTTGGCAGATCATGTTTATTGGTTTTAGTGTGGAGCTGTGTTCTTGCTCAGGTGTATGGTGGGTGTCAAATTGTGTGTGGTTCAGTGTAGGAAGTGGGCTTGAAAACTTGCTGAAATATCACCACGTTTGACTTCAGGGTGAGAGGAATCAACATTAGGTCGTGCTTCTCTTCCAGCACCCATGAGCTGATGCAAGGTGCTCACAGGAAAACAGTGGGTGCTGATGGTGTGCGTACAGCAGTGCTCTCCCCCTTGCAGATGTGATCATATACCAAAGATCCACATCTAGGAGCTTCTTCCCACTCATTGAGTAGAAATAAACAGGAGAAAAGTGGCAAGGATTCATGGCTGATTCATGACTTCCCTGCAAGTGTTTTGCCCTGATGCTCCAGGTGTGACAAGAACATTGTTTTATTCAGTGCTTCAACATCAAGTGCTTTACAGATCTGCTTTTCTGTACACACCATATAGAAAGTCATCTACACTGATGAGGCTTGATCCTTTTCTTGTTCACAGCAATCTAATTCACAGTTCCTTCACTCAAACAGGGTTTAAGCCAGGGTTGATGCCACTAAAATTGAAGGCACGTGGCAATTCTGGGTTTCTGCTGGGACCACCAAGGCTCCCAGTAGGTGTAACAAATAGGGTACATCAGTGCAAGTAAATTCAGACTGGAGCTTTGATTTTGAGGTGAATTGTGCTGAAATTTCAGCTCGAGGACTAGTAGCAAGCTAGCACTAGAAGTCTGGTATGTTTTAGCTAAATAAAAAGTGTAAATTACATGGCAGAATTTGCTTTGCTCTGCACACAGCCTGTGTGGTGTTAATTAAATCCTCAGCTTCTTTTCTAGTAGAAGGAAGACTGCGAAAACGAGTATGAAATCAATTCTACATTTAATTAAAGCAACTCTCTTCCATTCACATACTTTCCCACTATGATCCTGGTGATGCAGTTGTAACGGTGAGCCAGTAGGAATCACAAAGAAATTGGTTTTACAGGAGCAAAATTGACTTAACTTAGGAATTTTATGAGTAACGTTACAAAACCAGGAGCCTAATATAAAAGCCCAGATCTCTGTACAGAGAGGCTCTTTTTGTTTATAATCCCTCCTTGGAATTTCTTTGCACTGGCTCAGAAACAGTGTTTCAGGTGGTTTATTGTAATACTTCATTATTTTAATCCTACCAGTTCCTGTAGAAATCTCAGGTCAGTCCTTTGGTCACACATTGCTGCTGTCTTAAGCCAACTGTGAGAAGTGCAGAAGGTCTGGATGGATCCTGAGAGATGCTGCGGAGTGATGAGTACGAGGCCCTGTCAGAAGATTGTTGTTTACTGACTTTTTGGTTCACTTGTTCTTACACTTTCTTTCTCTGTCTTCCTGTAGGTTATAACCCTGGAAGGATGGGTTGACATCATGTATTATGTGATGGATGCACACTCTTTTTACAATTTTATATATTTTATATTGCTTATAATAGTAAGTATGAACTGTGTGTTGCTCCCATTCCTTGTCCTTGTGGGGTAAAGATGTTCTCTGGGCTTTTCACAGAGGAGTGCCAGCCGGGATTCAGAGTGGGAGACCATCCTCCTGCCATAAAGCATAATCACACAGGTTGTGATTAGTGCTGCAGGGACAGATTATTGGCTACAACAGCCCTTTTTAGTGTCACATGTGATGCATAGCCACAGTTTGTCAAGCCATATGGTCTTCCCTCCTTCTTACTGTCCCCAGTCTTGGTCTTGTTACCTTGATGAGTCCTAACTCTTGTGCCTTGGCCAAGCAACTACTAACAGAACAAAAAGCAGAGAGACTGTAGCTTTTCTTCCTTTAGTGTCCTCAATGGCCCAGACGACACCTTGTTTCAATGAAGGGCCTTCAAGCTGTTGAACTTCAGCTGAGCCCTTTAAATAACAGCAATAGCAGTGCACCTTGCTGAGATCTTTCAGTGTGAAGTATTACTCACTGGAGGTGCTGGAGGTTGTGTTCAGAAGCTGCCATTCCATGTTAGCAAGGTTCTTTTTTTTTACAATGGGCATAACTTTCTCCAGGGGTCTACATCTGTGGAAAAGTTAAGGATTTAAGGCAGGAGAGCAGAGGGAAAAGCATCGTGTAGAGATCAGGCAGGACATGGGACAGGAGCACTCTGAAGTGCTTTTGTGGCTGGATGTTCTTTATATATAACCCTATCCTCATCAGTGAGGTTGTGAAGGCTTTGGGAAGTTAAACCACCACAGCTCCCACCACCAGTGGGAAAGGTATGGATCAGAACAATGTGAGAGTTTCCCAGTAATGAACAGCATTCTGAAGCTAGTGATTTTTGAGCTTTTAGCAATGGGCCATGCATAGTAGAGATTTATGCTCCACTCTTTTGAGCCCTTTTCTACATATGGATCCCTGCAGAAAAGCCAAAAGGTGACTAATCTCCAAGTCACTTGGAGCTGGGAATGGCACCCTTGCTGCTTCTCAAACAGTATCCAGGCTGATACTACAAACTGGAGAACAGCACTGCAAACCATCTCCCAACAGCTTCCCCTGAGGATTCACCAGACAATGGTCCAGATTAAATCCATGTGTTTCCTACTGAGCAGAGCACAGAGGTTTGGCCATGTAGACAGTGGCACTTTCTTGACGTCAGTCCCTTTCACGCCTAAGGACACTGATTCTCTGATGGGAATATTTGACATTTTCCTCTGGCTGATTCTTGAACCCAAGTGGTGAAGAACCAGTTTGTGGTCTCAACAGCTGAGGGAAAGATGTAGCCTTAGGCCACTTCACATTCCTGTCCTCGGGACTTCATTTTGAAAACCTGGTATCACTCAAGAACACATCAACTCAACCTGTGTTGATTTCTGTGTCAGAGAGATGCAAGAGTACAAAGTCACAGATGCATGGGCCCTTCCTATCCTCCTCAAAACAGTGGCATGCTATGCCAGGGTGTGAAGTGATAGAGGAAAAGAAAAGGCAGTTTCAGGACAGCACAAATTGGACTTCAGACCGTCTTTCCTTGCAGGTTGGCTGGGTCTTCCCTAGCAATCTATTTGTGTTGTGTTTCATACACCCTGCGTTAGTAACAAATTGTCATCACTGTTGGGGGGGGAAAGTGGTGAAGGCTATTGTTAACATCTTTCTTTGCCATTGCCAAAATAATTTAACATGGCTTAGGAGCAAATTTAGCAGCTCAGGCACATGTTGACAAAACATTTGGTGAACAGACCCCGAGATTTGGCATGTTTGGAAATCTCAGGATTTCTAAGAACCACACTTCATGTCCAGACAGCATATGGTGGTGAAGAGCATGTCATGCTTTGTAATGCCCCTGCTAATTCCTTCCCCTTTGTTTTCTCCAGGTTGGTTCCTTCTTCATGATTAACTTGTGCCTGGTTGTGATAGCAACACAGTTTTCGGAAACAAAGCAGCGGGAGAACCAGCTGATGCAGGAGCAGCGGGCCCGCTATCTCTCCAACGACAGCACAATTGCCAGCTTCTCAGAGCCAGGTAGCTGCTACGAGGAGCTGCTCAAGTACATCTGCCACATCTTCAGGAAGGTGAAGCGACGGACGATACGTCTCTACAACAACTGGCAGAGTAAGCGCCGGAAAAAAGTTAACCCAAACAGCACCACAAATGGGCAAAGCCACCGAGGCAAAAAGCACATCACCTCCATCCACCACCTCATCCACCATCATCATCACCACCACCACCATCACTACCACATCAGCAATGGGAGCCCTCGGGGGCCACGCTCCAACCCCGAGATCTGCGACTTGGAACTCAAGGTCATGAAACCTGGAGGCCAACTGATGCTTCCTCCTCCATCACCCAACTTGCAGAGCCCTGCTCCTCCTCCGGATTCGGAGTCTGTGCACAGCATTTACCATGCAGACTGTCATGTTGAAGGACCACAAGTGAACTGTAAGTCTTCCAATGCTCCTGCAAGCATTAAACTGACTGCTGGACTCTCCAACCATGGCAACATGAACTATCCTACTATCCTGCCTTCTCCAACTAGCAAAGCCAGTTCTGTTCCTGTTCCCAAAGGAAAGAAGAATGGCAATTCACCTGTGGCTGTGGTTAACAGCCCTGTGAATTTGGGCACGGATTCTTATGGGAAGCTACAGCAACTGGTAGGAGAGCATGGTAAGGACAAACACACTGATGTTTATTGCTTAGGAAAACTGGGGAATGGGCAAATTGCTCAAGAGTTAAGGTGTTAAGAGGCCTTTTCTGGAGGCCTCTCTCCTGTGGTTACAAAGCGTGTGTTTTTGAGCTCCTCTCCTGTGCTTAGTGATGTTCTGGAGGTTCTCCCTCTGTTCCCACCCAAGAACAGATCTATGCAGCCCCTGGAGTTACATCTGTGGTAGATGAAGGACCTGCTGGCTTCAGCCCTGCAGCAGAGAAGCCCCAGCTGCTGGGAGATGGTACTTTGAAAGGGAAGAGCAGGTGGAAGCTGGTGGAGAAGCATAAGGTATAGGAAATGTAAGAAGTGTAAAACAGGGAGGCACTGAAAGAACTTAAACGAGACACTTCTAGAAACCCTTAGTTCTGCTCTGATGGGCCCCTGAACCTCGGAATTTCTTTTTGGGAAGGAGAAGGCATGAAGGCAGACCTGTGGCCACTGCAGGGTCTCACTCTGTGCTAGTCCTCAGAGGATGCATGTGAGGGCAGGAGTGTAGCAGAGCCACAGGTCTCAGGCTTTCCTTCCCATCTTTCCCCATGAGCAGAAGAAATGTAGGACTGAGTGTTCCTGCAGATTTGGAGCTCCAGTCCATCTGAATGAATGAGGAGCATCTTGGGGACTCTCTTGTACCTCTGTCTCATCCCTGTGTGTACAGACTGCATCCACACCAGCACTGTTCGTGTGGTTTTCTCTCCCTTCATGTATAAATCACCCACTGCTGGAGTTGTGATTACAAGCAACACTTAGGTTTCCATTTTGCAAAACGTTTTCAGTTCTCATGGCTGGAGCTAGAGGATGAAAAATAGAGTCTTAAGCCGTCAAACAGTAAAAAGTCCGAAAGAATCTAGCTTCTCTTTTTTTAATTCTTGAAGGCAAACCCATCATCTGTTTTTTTCAATGCCTGTGTTTTCCAAAACTGTTTATCTGTGTGTGCATGGACACAAATATTTATCCTAGTGATGTACGTGCTGAAAAAATACCAAGCCTAGCTTGGGGGGGGTCACAGTAAAGGTTGTTTGCCAAATAGGTCGGATGCCTTGTCTTTGTTCATTTTCTTATTATTTTATTTTTTAAGTAACCAGACAAAAGGGTAAAGTGGTTTGTTTACAGAAATTGCCTTCAGCCAACATTTCTCTAGGCTTGGGAGCTTAGCAGGAGGGCAGAAGGGGGCGAGATTAGTTTGCAACGTTCTTCTGTTGTTAAGCAAAGGCTTTATATGAATCACTGGTTCATCTTTCACTGTGCAAGGTAATGGTGGTTATTAGGAGGATGTGTATGTACCTTGAGCTAAAAGCCCAGGTTCTGCTAAGTCTCAAACTAGGAAAGCAAGGATGAGCAGAAGAGCTGCTGCTTGGAAGGCAGTGCTCAAGTCAAAGGTTTGGTTCTTCGTGCTTGCAAGAGGATCTGTTGCTGGGGGTCCTCTTTAGACAAAAGCTCCAACTTCAGGGCCACTTCATTAACTTAGGAGATTTTCACATAGCCTGTGGTGTTTCTTTAAAAGCTGATGGTTAGATGGAGTTGCTATTAATAATGCATAGTATCCTCTTTTTACAGAGGTATTTCAGCCCAGAGGATGCCAAAATGGTTTAAACAAATCTCCTGAAATTGTTTTGTCTCTTTCAGAAGTGTGCTCCTATCTAGGGGAAAGGGTGCCTGCCACAGCTCTTGGCTGGGGAGCAGCAGCTTATCTGGCACCCAGAGGAGCACAGGGGCTGAGAAGGGAAGCAAGTCAGTCGGGTCCATCTGGAGACCCTGTCACACAGTGTGTCCATGCCCAGCTCTTCCCCTCCATGGCTCTGGCTTCTTCCAGGTCCTTCTGCCATACCAACAGGATTCACTTCTGCACCACGGCCACCTTTGTATAGCGGGGATGATGTATGTGTCTTCCAGGCTCCAGGAAGATCTTAAGTACCAAATAAGCAAGCTCCTGAGTGTGTAGCTCTGCCAGGCACAGCTCCCAATTCATCCTTCTCCATCCCAGCCTTGGAGCTATGTTAACACCCTACCCTGTGCTCAGTGGAGAAGGTGAGGTATACTCACAAGCTCGCCCAACCCTCCTGGACTCAGCCTCTTTGGGCAACAAAAGAGCTATTTCACTTAATTCTCTCTCTCCCCTCTCACAAGTCAACAAGCAGAGTCTGTTCACTGCAAGACTTGTGCAAGGCGAGCACACAAGTGATAATTGAGAGCATTAAGGAGGCATTAGCAGCCAGGCTACTCTCAGCCCCAGCTGGAAATAAGGTTGGTGTCTGCTGGGAAAGATGCAATTGTGGGAGAGAGTATTCTCTCCCCTTCTTTTGTTGTGGAATTGAACAGCACAAAGTACAGCCTGTTCCTCCGTGTTCTCGTGCCCTGCAATGCTGCGAGGTTATTTTAGCAGGCAGCCAAGGAGACTCTGGTATTTTGAAGGCATCTGCGGCGCCAGTGTTTTTCATATGATTTTTAACACTTTGATAGCATTAAAAGACGTCTGGCAAAGCCCACTACCTCTGCTATCTACACTGCTATGGCTGTGCTGCAGCATCTCCTTCTCAGATCTGTCCTGATTAGAATATGCCATGTTCATGTGTGGTGCTGCTTGCAGCTTGAGTAAGGGGGCAAAGACTTCTGACCCCTCTGGTGCCCTTGGCGTAATGACCAGGAGGAGGACGGTCCTCTCCTGCAAGGCTGTTTTGAAGGGCAGTGATAATCTGAGTGACATTCAGGCAAGGAAAAGGTATTTTGACTCTTGTCACAACCCAGTTTTCCAGCTAATGGGGTGCTTTTGTTTGCTGCCTTCTCTTTAAAGATGTACTCAGCCAGGAGTGGCTGAAATCAGCAGCATTACTGCTGGGAGAGCTCCAAGCTCCTGGGCCCAGAGCCAGGAGCATCCATTGCCTTTTGCTTGGTCTCCCCAAAACTGATCCAAGTATCCCTCTCCAACCTCTAGACAGGGGCATGTTAGAGGGGAAAACAATCCCCTCACCCTATTTCCCTGCTTCTCAAGGAAAGCTTTCGCTGATGCTTGACTGGTGTTTTATAGGAAGGAACTCATGCAACCATGGTATTGCAATCATGTTGGGTGTTTTTTCTGTCATTAATGTCTGGTTCCTAAATAGGAGGAAACTAAGAATTCCTAAATGTGAAGAAATCAACCGCAGCTCCCGTTCCATCCTTATCACACTTGTCCGTACCATTTCTGTAGCCAGGCCCCGTGAGGGCAGTCAGCATTTCTCCTCACGCCACAGAACATGTGGCAATGTGTTTGATTTTAAAACACCCTGAATGCTCACTTCGCCTCCAGCGAAGAATACACCTGAGCTTTATTAAAGGCTGAAGGCAGGATGAAGGAGGCTGAAGGGACTACGTGACTCTCCCAAGCTGTGATCCGTGGTCTGTAGCCACCTTTGGACCATTTCTCCCTCTCCCTCCTCGTTATTAGCTAAATGGAAGCACAAGCTAAATTGGGTGTAACAGCTTGATAGCGCTCAGATCACCACTAATGATGTTAGCCTGGTCAGAGATAATCAGAACTAATTGAAAGCGAGAGGTTTGCCAGTCAGTCCTCCCTCAGCGGCAGAGCACAAAATGGCTGCTGAGCTCTGTGGAGAGCCTTGTCCGTGGAGGGGGTTTACGGGTGGGTGTTGGAAGAGGAAAAAATGATGTAAAGCAAGAACTTCTTGGTAAGATGGATGGTTAAAGGGTGTATTAAAGTATTAATTGAGGATGTGGCAGGAGCTGCTCTGCTCTGGACAAGCCCCGCGCCGCCCAAGGCGGGAAACGGGGCTGTCTGCCATGTTGAGGTGTGAGGTGGCTCATGGCGCCTGTCTTCCCCTGCAGGTCTGCGGCGGACGCCCAGCCGGCTGTC